GAGGGATGACACACCCCAATGGAAGCCAGCACGAAATTGGGGTGGTGTCAGGACCAGCCATGACGACAGGCGTCACCTGGAACAAATGCCTTTGACATGAGGACAGGAGGGCAGAGACAGTCTTCTGGGAACTTAGCTTCTCTCCCCAGGAGACAAGAAAGAGAAGGAGGAGACAGAAAACTTTCAATTCAATTGAATAAATTACGTATAAGAAATGGGTTTCAATCAGAGAAATAATGGCATTATCTCAACATAAAAAGATTTTTTTCCTGTCATTCACAGAAATAGTAGTTCCAGAATTGTGACTGTGAATTTTATATCCACAACCAGGAGTTTAGGTAAAAACATCCTCAACTATTTTCTTTTCTAGTCTTCTGCTCTCGGCTTCCTTCTCAGAGAGCCCCCTCTTAATCTGAAGTGCCTGCCAGGACCAAGGTAGATATTAAACCTATGAATAATAGCTGAGGTTTCATCTTTGGACTCCATGGCTTCCCCGAGGGAGCACGTATTCATATTCATCTTTTAATCAATGGAGAAACCAGAGGATGACTCATGCCCTCAGAGCTGAGCAGGAAGTCACGATGCCCTTGATTGGAGTCCCTCTGGGTTCTGGTTTCTTCTCAGTGGGGTCATGGCAGCCCTGTGGGTACCGCATGAGGGAAGGGGGCTGGGAAGAAGCATGGTGGCCATCTGGACTGGGGGCCCTTCCCATCAGTGGCTCCTTCTCCACCCAGACGCAGGCTCCGATTCAGAAGCTCAGTCCCACCATCCCCCCTCAAGCCAGCCCCACGCCCAGATACCCACACTCACCCTCCAAGTCCTCCCTCGCCACAGGGCTGGGGGAACCTGCCCGCACGCCCTTTCCTCTTCCAGATTCAGAAGGCAGAAGGAATTATGGGAAAAAACCCTCACAAAACTATGGAGACAGAGAAAAGACTAATGGTATCTGGGGATGAGCAGGGGGAGAGTAATGAATAGCAGAGCACATTGGACTTCTAGGGCAGCAAACTGCTCTGTGTGACACCCTAATGGTGCATTCCGGTCAGTATATGTGCGTCCAAGCCTACAGAAGGTCCAGCACCAAGTGCAAACCCTAATACAATAATCCCCTTTATCCCTGATCTTGCTTTCTGGGGTTTCAGCTACAGTGGTCAACCACAGATAATTCCAGAAATAAACAATTCACAGGTTTTAAATGTCATGCCATTGTGAGTGGCGTGATGAAATCTGGAGCCATCCTGACCCATCCTGCCTGGGACATGAATCCTATCTTTGTCTAGCGTCTCCACGCTGTCTACGTTCCCCATCCCCCAGTCTCCACTATCAGATGGAAAAATTATAGTATATATGGGGCTCAGGACTATCTGAGACTTTAAGCACCTTCTGGGGGTCTTGGAACATATACCCCAGGGATGAGGGGGGAGTACTGTATAAACCGTAAACTTTAGGTGACGATATGTCAATGTAGGTTCATCACTTATAACAAATGTACCACTCGGATGGGGGATGTTGACATTGCAGGTTGTTGTGCATGTGTGGGGCAGAGAGCATATGGGATGTCTCTGTACCTTCCTTTAAATTTTGTTGTGAACCTAAAACTGTTTTAAAAATAATTAAGTCGTTAAATGACAACAGCAATCTATTCTATAGAAAGCAGTGTGTGTATGGGGGGAACAGCTTCATCCTTCCCTTCTTTGCAGTATAAGAAATTCCCCCTAATTTCTTTTTCACCAAAAGAGGTTGCTGGGGAAATTGACATGGAGCAAGCCCCACAGTGGGGGTTCAACTTATGGAAACTCAATATGCCAACTAACAAACCAGATCGATTAAGAGGCAATTATTCATTTTATATTGCTTCAACACAGGATTCTCTAAGCAGTAATGCCCTAGGGTGTTTAAGAATTTGCTTATAGATCATGGGTATCCAGCAGAAGGCAGACACAGGTAGAAAACCAGTGTTTGGAGCCATCGTCTGCTATAGATCAGGGAGAAGTGAAGGAAAAAGAGCAAGTGCCTCATTTTGAAATCCTGTAAATCAACAGGGAAACAGGATGGACTTCCCAAACTCAGTTTATAAACAACTTTTTATAGCATTATAAAATATTAGCCTTTCCAAAGACCTGCCACTTACTACTATAGGCTGAACTCGATGGTTTAATTACATCAATCCTCACATCAGCCACGTAAGGTCGATATTATTATCCTCATTTTACAGATGAATGAATGGAGGCCCAGCTTAGGAAAAAACTTGTCAAAGGTTACAGATGATTCAAGTTCACATTACTATACTCCATAAATCAACAGGTCATAAATCCAACAGTGTATGCAACTTTTTTTTTTTTTTTTTTGGTACGAGGCACAAGGGGTTAATCAGCATTCACTTCTCTATTTGAAAAACGTTTCTTAAAAAGGAAACTATTTTTGGATAGAGTGAATTAAAGAGTAAACGAGTCTCCCTGTTAGTTTATTTTCACAGAGTGCTCACACTCCTCCAACAATAATTCATCCAGGATGTGAGCTGGAAGCCATTAGAAGTCACTGGGCCTGGGGGAGAAGATAAAACCACGATTAAAGACATCTGAGCCCTTTAGGAAAATTTATTAACTTGGATTTCATTTTTAATAGAAGACACTAATTCACACAAGAAGTCCCCAGGGGGCAAGCCAGCGATGCCCTATAATTGCTGTAGGGCTCTGGAGTTTCCACACATGCACTTGCTCCTGGGCTGCGAGAGGTACCAGGTCTGCACTGAAGTACAGGGAACTCCTTGGAACCTCTGTCAGCCCAGCCTTGCGGGAAGAAGAGCTCTTGCCACAAACAGAACACAGCTCCAAGTTGTCCCTTATAAACTGGATATTTTTTTTTCCTCTAAGACCTCTCCATTCCAAGCAAAGAGATGGGGGAAGAGGTGGCCCAGGAGATGAGGTTCTCCTAAAGTGCTAAAGCAGGTGGCAGAGTGGCCAAGAAGGCAGAGTGGCTATCCTGAGTGCCACATCCTCCCTGTTAGCAAAGTGTGCAAAAAGGATGCTTGGTGGGCCCCGAGTTTCTTGCCTGTGAAACAAGGGGCTTGGATGGCAGGGCCTTGAAGGTCCTTTTCAAATCACTGATAGAGTTAGAAAGGCAGGGTGGGGAAAGGCATCCTGGAGCTCAAGTCCCTGCTCGGTCCCTTCCCATACGTGCGATGTTAGAACCATAATCACAATACCTTCGAAAGAGTGTTGATTGTTTACTAAGTGCCAGACGTCATGCTGAATACTCTAAACACTGGGACAAGCCCATGAAGTAGGCACTGCCAGTATTTCCATTTCATAGTTGAGGCAACTGGAGCATAGAGGGACCAAGAGGCTTGCCCAACATCGTAGGGAGCTGGCTTTTTGGATCCAGGTAGTCTAACGTCAGCACCTGCACTCTTAACCTCTATGATCTTTATCCGCAAGATGGGAATAATGACATACTGACCTCACAGGGCTACAGTGAAGATGAAACGACATCATGAATCAAAGTACTTAGCATAGATGGTCCGTGGTCCATAGCAATAGCTTGTTAAATAAATCGGGTTTATTTAGCTTGGACAAGCTAATGAGAATAGGAGACTTAATTATTGCCTTCAAATATATGAAGGATTTTTAATGATTCACTTATGTTTGATGAATATTGAGCCTCCACAGAACCAGACTAAATGCTTTGTATTATTCTCAAGTCTGTGTCATCCAGGAAGAGAATTTAATTTTAACAGGAGAAATTTAATTAGACATAAAAATAACTTGACCTTCATACTGGGTATAAAATTTCAGAATAAATAATTGCACTTAGTTGTGAAGTTTGTATCCATGATGTTTAAACTGAGAATTACTATTTGAAGACTAGCCAGGTACAATTGTGCAGGTTACGTACTGCACAAAACCAGGGTCGGCCATTTACACCACGGTTCTCTCTGGAGTTACACAACACACGATCTGCTTGGCCTTTTGTGGCAGTCCTGCCTGCCCTGAGGCATTTAGATTGAAGCTAGTCCTGTTCCAGCTACAGCTACAGGATTCCTACAGGAATCCATGGCTTTGAATGAAAGCTGACAGCTGAGAGAATTATCTAAGAAAGGGAAATCTGTGGTTTGCATGACACAACTCAGCACCCAGGATCCCAAGGTGGTCATGCATCATAGACCATAGCCTCAGAATCCCCCCAACACAACACTCCAGGGAGGTGCCAACAACAAATCATATCTGCCACTTTATCCAAAAACAAAGTCTGTTTAACATAGTGATCAGAAGCCTAGTCTGGAGTTAGAATACTAGGTTCAAATCCTAGTACCGTGGTGACCACAGTGAATCAAAAAAGAAATGTTTGGCTGCAAAAAACAGAAAGCAAACTGAAAGTGTTTTAACAATAAGAAAAATTTATCTTCCCTTTTTTAAAAATCTAAGATGCATGCACATGTATGCATATACACACACATTTTGTATAGTTAACATCTCTGAGATTGGGGATGTCCTGCAATTGCTGTTGTGAAGCATTGCCTGTCCCTGTGCATCAAGCCTGCAGAATGGTGATAGTGTGTTAGGAATGACCCCAGAGATTACAAAGGGGCACTGTCTTAAGAAATATAGGATCACTGGAGCTCTTCATGCTATAGAGGACAATCGTATGTGGAAAAATGTGAACGCTGATGACTCAGAGTGGATAAGTGAATCAGGACAGTTTGACTCTCAATGTAAAGCAGATTCAGGAATACCTTGAATAATTAACTTCATATAGATATTACACATATATATTATGTATAAAAAATATATAGATATTATATATAAATATATATGTAATAATATATGTATTATATATATATAAATATATATATATACATGTACAAGGGTGGTATGTGGTATAAAAAAATCTAGGCATAAGTCTAAATGCACCTTTTGATTAAGTATAAAATAAAAATTCCAAGTGGTAAAAGAGCATAGTGTCATAGTTGACTTGACAGCATTTTTTCTTTCTTAGTTGGACACAATGTAATGGTTCATCTTACAAGCGATGACATCTTAGATTAGAAGAAACGCAGCATATCATATTACAAAAAGGCCAGAGGGAAGGCAGTGCCAGCGTTGGCTAATTTGGCAGCTCAACAACATCATTAAGGATGCAGTTTCTTTTTATCTATGCAGGCTGCCATCCTTAGTCCGTTGTCTTGTTCTTTTAAATGGCATCTCTCATGCTTCCAAGATGGCTGTCCCAGCTCTCGGTGCCCTGTAAAGATGACAGTGTTGAGAGGCAGCAAGGGAATCTCTCTCATTGACCTCCTTTCCGTGAGCAAGGATTTCTAGCAGACTTTTCTCCGTGACTTACTATCTAAAATTGTGCCGCACGTGCATAATCGTTACCAATGCGAATGGGATTACCATTGGTTTAGGATGATTACAACTCACGCCCAGGCCTAGAAAGGGACTCCACTCCCCAAAATACATGATCCCCTGAACAAAACTAAGGTTCTTCTAGCAAGAAAGAAACAGGGAGAGTGACTGTTGGTTAATCAACCAGAAGTGTCTGCCATGTTGAACATATTGCTTATCTTTTCTTTGCCTTGGCATCCCCGTGTGTAAAATGGCGATATTAGTAATAACAACAACTACCTCAAAGGGTAGAGAGGATTAAATGACACATAGAAAATACTTATTAATGGCATAGTACCTGATATATATTAAGGGCTAAGGAAGTATTAGCATTTATTGATAACTATTCAACTTCTAATTATTATCATTTATAATATCACCCTAAATCCAGTTAGGTAAAGTCCCAACCTGCCATGAAAGAAAAGGGAAATGAGGACCTGAATTAATCTTAGATATTAGGACGAATAATAATTGGTCGAGAAGGTGTTTTTTTGTTTGTTTGTTATTGAGTGAATCCTCTGTACTAGGTATTGTTCCTAATCTAGTTGGAAGAGTTCAAAACACAACCATTGAGGAGTTTATGTTTTGGTGGTGTAGGTAACTAAAGAGTTGAAAAACAAGAAGAGGGTCTCTTGCCTTCCAGCTTTTGCCCATGCTCTTCCTTCTGTCTGAAACACAATGTGTCATTGCTTTTCTCCTACCTTAGCCTGGTGAACTCTTATTCATCCTACTATGTCAGCTTGGTTGCTCCCTTGACCCCAAATTTTAGGTAACCTATCTATTGTAAAAGCTTTCACAATCTGCATTATAATAGCAATATCATATCGAAATTCGTTGGCCTTTTGCCATTCTTACCCACTAGATTGTAAACTCAATGAGTGCAGCGATCATGTCTGTCTATGCCTGACACGAAGTAGGTGTGCAGTGAAAACCTGTTGAATAAACAAGTGGATGAATGAATGTGTTTCACCCAGCACTCTTTCAGTTGTGACAGATACAACTTAGTTTCATAAAAAAAGATATTTATCAATCTCATAGCCTAAAAGCCCAGCGGTTGCTCTGACTTCAGATGTGGTTTGATTTAGGGGACTCAAATGATGGCATTAATATTCTGTCAGATCTGTCTTTCCTAGTGTTGGCTTCATTTCCAGGCTTCCCATGGCATTCCTGGCACCTATGGATGTTTGTCTTTCAGTTTAAGTCCAACGGCAAAGAATACATGTCTCCTTCCCACCAGTTCCACCGATATCTGATTCTGATTGGGTCACATATCCATCCCTGAAAGAGTCACTGTGGCCAGGGGTTGGCTTTGAGGTGAGTTTTTCTCCCCTGAGCACATGTAAGGAGACATTGCCAGAGGGAGATTTGCGATTTTATAGTAGAAGTGGGGTAATTAGGTGTTGAGCCACAAAACACATGTTCACTGTAGAATGAATAAATCATAGGGGACTGTGTGATAAAATCAGGTGTAGAAGAGAAAGTGCTATAGAATTTATTGTAGGACAGAATAATGGTGCCCCAAAGATGTTCACGTCACCGTCACCGGAACCTGTAAATATGTCACCTTACGTGGTGAAGAGCAATTTAGGTTGCAGGAGGAGGTAAGGTTGCTGATAAACTGACCTTAAAATAAGGAGATTATCTGAGACGATCTGGATGGTCACACTGTAGTCACAGGGTCTTTAAAAGGGGAAGACAGAGGCAGAAGAGGAGGCCAGAGTGATGTCACAGGAGAAGAACTCAACCTACTGTTGCTAACCTTGGGGGCAGAGGAAGGGGACCAAGACATTCAGGCAGCGCTAGCAGCTGGAAAAGGCAAGGAAATGGATTGCTTCCCAGAGCCTCTGGAAAGGAGCACAACCCTGCTGACACCTTGATTTTAGCACAGAGAGACCCACTATGGACTTCTGACCAACAGAATTGTTTTAAACCACAAAGTTTGTGGTACTTAAATTACAATCAATCGAAAACGAATGGAATTCAGACAAAATAACAGGTAGTCCCTATAGAATGAATGAATGAATGAATGAATACCATAGGAGCATGTAATGAAATCAGGGGTAGAGAGAAAGGTGACATGGAATTCAAAGGAGGGACACATCTTTGTTGGTATAGTCAAGAAAGGGTTTTTGGAGAAGACAGGATTGTAGCTGTAGTATTTTATGGGCTTCACAAAAGGAGAGCGATTTTTGGTTGAAGAAAGTGGGATGTTTAAACACAGGAATGAATGACCATATTGGGAATGTCACTGAAATTGCAGGTCATGGTCAGAGAAAGGAAGGAGATAGGGTTGGATGGGTAAGAAGAGGGGTCTGATGGAACCTCTGCAGCTCTGGGAGGAGGTGTTCCCATTTGTTCCAGTTACCCAGGGGAAAGCAGTGTAGGTCTTGAGCAAAAGCCTGTCGTGATGAAAACAGTGGTGCCCAGGATGGACTGGGGACAGAGGAGGCTAGAGATGGGCCAGGTTGGCAGTGTGGAGCTACCGGACAGGCAGCCTCCTGGCAGGAACCATGGCTGAAACTCTGCAGTGGAGTAGAAATGGGAGCGAAAATAAGGGAGGAAGCAGAGAACCCCGGAAGACTGGAGATCTTCTCTGGGGGTCCGTGGATCCTCTCTCTTCTGTCCACGACCTCAGGGAGTCGATGAAGCTCCCAAGATTAGATGCAAAATTGGGGGTTTGTGAATTTTCCTGGGGAGGAGGGCCACATCCTCCATCAGATATCACAAGGGGCTTTGTGAGTCCGAAAAGGTAAAAGTCACTGACAAGTTTTAAATCACACTTTACTGAAAAATAATACGTATATAGATAAGTGCACACATCATAAATGTGCAGCTAGATGGATTTGCACACACTGAACGCCCCTAAGGAAGCCACGCCCAGACAAAAAGCAGAGCCCTACCAGTACTCTAGAAGAGCCCTCTCAAGCCCTTCCTCCCACTCTACGCGGCCACCACTACCTTGATTTCCAACCCTGCGGTAAGGTATTCAGCCAGGACTGCATGGCGTTGGGCTCCAGAGGAACCAGGCCACCGATATGAGAAGCAGGTGTAGGCTAGAAACCAGGGAACTGCGCATAGAACTGGATGGGAAAACCACCCTGGTGCTTTCTGAGCATCCCCATGTTGCTTTGGCGCAGGGCAGGACCTCTGCCAGCAGGTCCCCTCCCAGATGTCTGACTCCCTGACACGTGGCCAAAGCCTGCGCTCCCCCCCACAGGGCCTCCACTGTCTGCGCTTCACTCCGCTTGCTGCGTTACTCACGGTGATCCTGGGGGCTGGGCCTTGGGAAGGGCAAGATCTACTTCGGTCGGACATTTGATTTCTTGAGCTGATCTTTATTTGGTTTCCTTTCCCGGCCCAGAACGAAGGGCCCCGGACACAGGATCTTAAGTCCGTGGCTACTGTGGGGCGATTTCACGCTGCAGCGGAGGCTGGAGCACGTGGGAGGGTAAGAGGATTAGGCAGCCTGGTAATTACCGACAGCCAGCCGTCCTGCCAGGGCCATAGGTGCCGTCCAGCAGGCCCGAGGCTGCAGGAGACATAGACGAGCTATAATCGGGTTCGGAACCTGTCTGCCTTTTCAAACAATAGTCAAGACAATAACAGTAACTGGATTTCAGACTCTGCTTCTGGGAACGCAAACAAAAAGAAAAGAGATAGAGTTTTTGTGGCTTCCCCAAGAATAATTAATAGATCCTGGCAGGGAAAAGAACCCAGAAAAGGAATTAGGATTCCTCAGAGAAACAGGGAGGGAGAGGACACAGCTACACCCTCCTCGGCCCCATTCTGCCTGCCCCTGTCCCCCCACCCGCTGTATTAGGTATCTCGAAGGTCAGAGCCCATTGCTGAAGATTTCGAGGGACTGCCCTAATCCTCCAGTCGGGTTGGGTTACTGGGGCTTTGATTTCTGTTGGGCTCCACATTGGCTGGGCTTTCAAGCTCTTTGTTTTGGAGAGAGTTTCTTTTTCTTTTTTTGAGACAGAGTTTCACTCTGTTGCCTTAGCTAGAGTGCCGTGGCATCAGCCTAGCTCAGCAACCTCAAACTCCTGGGCTCAAGCCATCCTCCTGCCTCAGCCTCCCTACAAGTAGCTGGGACTACAGGCATGTGCCACCATGCCCGGCACATGTTTTCTATATATTTTTTTTAGTTGGCCAATTAATTTCTTTCTATTTTTAGTAGAGACGGGGTCTTGCTCTTGCTCAGGCTGGTTTTGAACTCCTGACCTTGAGCGATCTGCCCGCCTCAGCCTCCCAGAGTGCTAGGATTACAGGCGTGAGCCACCGCACCCAGCCAGGAGAGAGTTTCTTTATTATGGTAGTTCTTTTACTGGGCAGGGCCTGAACCTGGAAGGGCTGTCAAGGAGAGGGTGGGATTGGTTTGGGTGACTCCTCCTTCCCTTCTCTCTCCTCCAAGCCCTTCTTCTCTTTGCATGTTCCCTCTGTTGCTTCTCACACTCATGCTGTCTCTCTTCCTCCAACGCTGAACCGGCCCTACAGACGGAGCCTGAACATGGGAGGATGGATTTAAAGTCTGCTTAAGGAACAGGTAGATCCTCAGAGCCTTTGCCTCAGCCTGAGCAGTTAGGCGACTCGCCCTTCCTTGTCCCAGCAGAAGACAGAACGTGTATTGTCCTGAGATATTGAGACTGAGGGATTCTGGACTGGAAAGATGGTTGAGCATAGGGACTGAGTATATCACAGGTACTTTATTAAAAGCAGAGGGTTTAAGTGAAAGACACTACATGGAGTGTGGATGGCTCCAGTTCCTTCCACCACTCAGCTCCAAGAGTGCAACAGCCGGGCCCACACTGCTACATGGGTAGACTGGACAGTTAGTTGTTCTGGGGGGAACTGGGCCAACACAAGATAAACTCCTGCTACTGCCCTCCTGGATATCCCCAGTGGAGTGACTGAGTTTTTTTTCTGGCCAGTAATTCTCTTGTGAGTGAATGAACAGCCCAAGGCTCCTCTCGATGGAGCCAAATACAGAGGATTTCTACCTTGAAATGCAGATACTAAAATAAATTGATAGGAAAACAAAAAGCACTGAGAAAACAAAGACAATGAGATGATAAGAAAAAAGGTTTAAAAAATATATTAGTATTATCTTCATAGAGATAAGAAATTGTATCTATAAAACAAAAACAGGATATTGTATAAAAAGGACAGAGCCCTTTCCCTCAGCTTTATTGAGGTGTAATTGACAAATAAAATTGTATATATTGAAGGTGTACAATATGATGTTTTGATATACATATGCATTGTAAAATGATCACTACAATCGAGCTGATTAACATATCAATCAGTTCAAGTAATTACCTTTTTTATGGTAAGAACACTTGAGATCTGCTATATTAGCAAATTTTGTGTATAAAATATATTGTTAACTACAGTCACCATGCTGTACATTAGGTCTCCAGGACTTATTCATCTTATAACTGAAAATTTGTACCCTTTAACCAAAATCTTCCCTTTGCCCCGACTCCTCAGTCTCTGATAACTCCCATTCTACTTTATGTTACTATAAGTTCAACTTTTTTTTAGCTTTCACATGTAAGTGAGATTATGCAGTATTTGTCTTTCTGTGTTTATCTCTTTTTTTTTAGCATAATGTCCTCTAGGTTCATCCATGTTGTCACAAATGGCAGGATTTTTTTCTTTTCTAAAGCCAAATAATGTTCCATTGTGTGTGTGTGTGTGTGTGTGTGTGTGTGTGTGTATCACATTTTCGTTATCCATGCATGTGTTGACATTTAGGTTGTATCTATATCTTGGCTACCATGAATAATACTGCAGTAAACATGGGAGTGCAGATATTTCTTCAAGATAGTGAATTTACTCCCTTGGAATATATACCCAAAAGTGAGATTGCTGAATCATATGATAGGTCTATTTTTAACTTTTTAAGAATCCTCCATACTGTCTTCCATAAGGGTTATACCAATTTACATTCCCACCAGCAGTGTATACTCTGCCCAGTTCCTTTCACTACACACCCTTGCCAACATTTATCTCTTGTCTTGTTGATAATAGTCATCCTAACAGGTTTGAGGTGACATCTTATTGCCCTTTTGATTTACATTTCCCTGAGTGATGTTCAGCATCTTTCCATGTATCTATTGGCCATTTGTATGAATTCTTGGAAAAAAATGTCTATTCAGGTCCTTTGCCCATTTTAAAACTAGGATATTTGTTTTTTGCTATTGAGTGGTATGAGTGCCTTATATATTTTGAATATTAATTCTCTTGCTATCTTCCTTTATGATTTGATGATTTTCTGCAGTACTATGCTTTGATTATTTTCTCTTTATCATTTGTGTATTAACTATAGATTTTTGCTTTGTGGTCACTATGAGGCTTACATAAGACATCTTATAGCTATAATAGTCTATTTTAAGCTGCTAACAACTTTGAATGCATACAAAAACTCTACTTCCCCTCACACCCATTTTATGTTTCTGATGTCATAATTTACATCTTTTTATATTGTGTATCCATTAACAACTTAGCTAAAGTTATTTTTATGACTTTTATTTTTAACCTTCATACTAGAGTTAAAAATGATTTATACACCATGATGAAAATACTAGAATATTCTGAATTTAACTATGTACTTACCTTTACCAGTGAATTTTATGCTGTTATATCTTTTCCTTTTATTAGTTAGCATCCTTTTATTTCAGGTTGAAAAACTCCCTTTACCATTTCTTGTGAGGCAGGTCTAGTAGTGATGAACTCCCTTAGCTTTTGTTTTTCTGGGAAAGCTTTCATCTTTCCTTCATTTCTGAAGAATACAGATTTGCTGTGTAACATATTCTTGATTTGGAACTTTTTCTGCCAGCACATTGAATATATCACTCCACTCTTTCCTGGCCTATAAAGTTTCTCCTGAGAAATC